TTTTTTGCAATATTTGATGTGATCCTTTCCCCCTCCACATTGTGATATCAATCCTTTGTGGGAAAACCCAGATGGGAAAATGTTCACATATACAAACTAAGCAGTATTAATTCGATAAAGTAAACACCTTTATCCATTAGCAAACTAAAGTCTAATTTTCCATTTTTATTTTTAACCACTTTTACAAATATAAATAAACTTTTTAATGTTAATAATTATTTTCTTTTTTAGAGGGAATTCTTCCAAACTCTTTTTCTAAGGCCAGAAATATTATTATACCAAAACCAGAAAAGTATACACACACAAAAATAAGCTGTAGCACAATATCCTTGATGAGCACAGATGAAAAAAAAAATCCTCAAGAAAATACTAGCAAACTAAACTTACCAACATATCAAAAAATCATTCACCATAACGAAGAATAATTCATTGTAGAGATGTAGAGATAATTGCACATATAAAGATTACTAAATGTGATTACTAAATTGATAGAAAGACAGACAAAACCCATATGACTGGGAAAGTACCTCAGTGTAGGGCACTAGCATGCATGGGAGCCTAGGTTCAATCTTCAATACCAAAAAAATAAACTGGATCACAATTAGAAGAATAAAATGTGTTTGATAAAATTCAATATCTCTTTATCATTACAAGCTATTAAAAATAAAAAAAGAGGGGTTGGGGATTTAGCTCAGTGGTTCTGCAGCCTGCCTTGCAAACACAAGGACTGGAGTTTGATTCCCCATACAAAAAAAAAAAAAACTATCAAAAAATCCATAAGAATGAATATACCGCCACATAATAAAGGTCATATATAAAAAGCCAACAGCTAACATCATACTAAATGAGGAAAAGCTGAAAGCTTTGTAAGATCTGGAGCAAGATTGTGAAAGTCTACTTTTACCACTTTTACTCAGCATCACACTGAAAGTCATAGCCAGAGTTACCTGGCAAGAGAGAGAAATAAAGGACACCCAAATTGAAAGTGAGGAAGTAAAATTATCACTGTTTGAAAATGGTGCAATATTATATATAGAAAATCCCAAAGATTCTACCAAAAGACTTTTATTAGAACTTACAAGGAAATTCAGCAAAGTTTCAGAATGCTAAATCTACATATAAAAATCAGTAGCATTTCTATTCTTCAGTAGCAAATTATCTGAAAAGTAAATTTTAAAAGTAATCCTATTTATAATTCTAGAAGATACTCAGGAATAAAATAAACCAAAAAGATGAAAGAACTCTACAATAAGAATACGGATGGAAGAAACTGAAGCAGTCATACACACAATGGAAAAGCATCCAATGTTCATGGACTGAAAAAGTTAACATTGGCAAAAATCCATACCACCCAAAGTAATCAACAGATTCAGTGCAATTTGTATCAAAATATTCATGACATGATGCGCAATACTATGAAAAGCTATCCTAAAATTGGTATGGAACTACAAAATACCCCCAGTAGCCAAAGCCATTTTGAGAGTTATAAAAGCAGGAAGCATTACACTACCTGACTTTGAAACATACTGCAAAGCATTCATCAAAGGAACAATGCATTGACACAGAAACAGAAAGAAAATTGAGTCAGGATAGAGATCCTAGAAGTAAACTCACGAATCTACATATGACTGATCTTTTACAAAACTTCCAAGAGTGTGCAATAGAGAGACAGTGTTTAGCAATCTATAAAACAATAAAGAAACACATGCAGAAAAAGGAAATTAGATCTTATCTCATCAGTTATAAAAACACAAAATGGATTAACCACTCAGCCATAAGACATGAAACTGTAAAAGTACTAGGAAAATATACAGGGAGAAAGCCTAAGTCTATTGAGGTGGGCAAAAATTTTTTGGATAAGACAGCAAAAACACAGAAAACAAAAGCAAAAATGAGCAAAAAGGATTACAGACTAAAAAACTTCTGCACAGTGAAGGACACAAACAAAAGTGAGAAAAGCAACTTACAGAAGTGGCTAAAATATTTGTAAACTATACATCTGACAAGGGGTGAGTATCTAGAATATATAAAGAACTCACACAACTATAGAAAAATAAATCATAAGTAAGTAAGTACAATCTGATTAAAATGAACAGTAAATACACATCTCTCTAAAGAAAATATGCAGATGGCCAAGAGACATTAAAAAATGTTCTACATTAATCCTCAGAAAACATGTAAATCAAAACCATATGAGATATTGTCTATTCCACTAAGAATGACTGTCAAAAACAAAAATCAAAAGAAACCCAAAAAAGAGAAAAGATGGAAAGATATGAAAGAGAGAAAGAAAGAAGAAAAATCAAGGAAAAGACAAGTGGAAGAAAGGAGGGAGGGAGGGAGGAGCGAGGAAAAAATCAAGTGTTTGGAAAAACTTGTTAAGAGGAGAACCACTGACCCTTCTACATTGCTGGTAGCCATGTAAATATAGTTCAGTCATTAAGGAAACAATATGCCTTTGTCCCTAAAATCTAAAAACAGAATTGTCATGTGGTCCAGTAATCCACCACTGGGTGTGTGCTCAAGGCATGAGTATTTTCATTGCAGAACTCTTCACAGAGTCAGCAAACAGAAGCAGCTGAAGTGTCCCCTGGTGGAGGGGTGGATGAAGAAGGCAAGGAGGTCTTGGCAGTGCAGAGCTGTGGGCGCTAAAGAGTGAATTCCTTTCATTTGCACAATGTGGATAGAACTGTAGCTCATTGTGTTAAGTGAAGTAAAGAAAGAGAAATATTTCACGGCCTCAAAATAGGTGGCATCTAAGGAAGTGGATGTCATAGGCGGAACAGAAGGGTGGTGTTCAGAATTCGGCAGACTGAGGTGGGAGATGGGAAAGTTGCTTGAGGGCTACTAAGTTACAGTTAAACAAAAGTGGATCTGCTGTGGGGTGAATGCAGTTCACAATGCCCCGTTATCTCAAAAAGTAACATTTTTTCATAAAGGTGATAAGTATTTGAGGAAACAGATACACTTAGCTCTGTGAATCTTGCACAATGTGTGTATACACAAAGAAATCACACGGTGGCACATAAATTCTTCTTTTCTTCTATCCCTTCTCCTTCACCCCTTCGCTTCCTCCTACTCCCTCCATGACCTGTGCCCCCCCATCTACAGTCACTGGAAAATTTATTTATCTACCTTCTCTGTGTATGTGTCTGTGTAGGGATTTTCATGCAAGGGAAACCATTCAGTACTTGGCCTTGCGTGTCTGACTTCCTTCACGCAATATTATGGCCTCAAGTCCTTCCGGATGCATCATGTGGTGCGCTGTATGAAATAAAAGAAAACATTTAAAAGTAGCTCCACTTCCTAATTAAAGCCTAAAAGTGTACTTCAATATAAATGCTTAAAACCTCTGATCTTTAGTGAGAGTTGGGCAATATTTTTTTAAAAATTGAAAATCTCCTAACATTATGAAGAGAATAAAGCTTGCATTAACTATAAAATGGATTTGAGTCTGTCACATATGGAGCACCTGAAAAATGATGCTGATGTCTTCAGGTGCACAGACTGCATGGAGCTGGCTTCACCTGAAGATGGAAGTCACATGGCTGGGAGTGGTGGCATCAGCTTCTTAGGAGAAGGAAGCAGCAGGAGGATGAGTTTAAGGTCAGCTTAGGCAGTTTACCAAGACCCTGTCTCAATTTTTTTTTAAAAAATGAAGCAAGACTAGGATGTATCTTAGTGGTAGAGCAACTGCCTAGATGTCTGAGGTCTCACAGTCCATCCCAGCCCTCCAAATCAGTACATAAGCAAACAAATAAATGAAGTGAAGGATAACTTGTTTGATTTGTCATATGCAAATTCTTTGCTATACGTGAACAGGAAGCACTTCTTCAAGCACCCAGCACTCGCACTGGCTGAACAGGGCTGACTTCGGGACAGGGGTGTGAAGGTCGTGAGTAAGGTGTGGGGCAGACACAGGTGTGAGGTGGGCTGGAAGGTGCAGCAATGAGTATTTAGTATGGGAAGGGACTAAACCCATTTTCAAGCTGGGTTGTACGTCCGTTTCACTGTTTTTGCTTTTTGCTGTCATTGTCATCAACTGTTGGAGAAAGCGTTACCTCTATAACTAACCCATATACTTCCTTTCAAGTCTATAGAATGAGAGTGAATTTCTCTTTTGCTAGGTCTTCTGTCTTGTCAGATACTCTAGGCAGTCACCGTCCTCACAACTGAAATCTTTGCTCTTTCAGTGCATCTACGCCTTGTATCTTGAGGTTACCTTGATGTAAACAAAACGTGCCCCCGAGGTACCGGCAAACATAACGGGCAAAAGTGCAGGCTACATACAATAAAAATCTTTAATGTTATTTTTGCAAGCCAGGCTTGAAATTTGGCAAAAAGGAGGTAAGAAGCTCTTTTTAGGGTTTTACAGGTCAACAGCAGACGTGTAGGGGATGAAAGAACAGCGCCATGATAGAACTGGTTGGAAACGCAGAGCAAATGTGGTTCAAGGAGATTCTCTCCAGACTAACAGAATAATTGAAAGTCACTTTTATAACATACAGTGATGTGGGACAGAAGCTCAGGGAACATCCATGGCAATATTTTGCATACACTGTCAAATCATGATGTAGCACCAGTCCAGCAAACATGATGAATGACTAAACTTTACAATTAGAGAAACCAAACTATGGGTTACTGAAAGTCACTGCTATTACAATGGATAAAAGTTGGAATAAAATAAATTTTTGTGTCACTTCTATAAGCAATTTATATGCTATTTCCTGCCCCAAAATACATGACTTTTCTGTCCATGAAAGTAATGTTTCCCTGTTTCCTGAATTCAAGTCCGAGAACAGACAGAAGTACATGCATGCATATAATTACAAAAGCGAGGCTGGGGACTTAGCTCATTGGTTCTGGTGCCTGCTTCACAAGTGCAAGGACCAGAGTTCGATCCCCGGTACCCAAAAAAAAAAAAGGAAAAATCCCAAAAGCAAAAGGAAGCATTTTGATAAAATATTTTATTATTATTAAGAATAATATCATCATGGTTATAAAAATAACTTTATTAACTACAGATACTTTATAGTACAAATCATAACCACAGTATCCCTTTCTGCGGGAAGCATCCAGCTCTACCACCCAACAGGCAGCTTATTGATTTCCTATTTACACATACGACATACAGTCACAGTATCCACAGTATTCTAGTTTCCGTTTCCTAAAGACAGAAACTTTCTGTGCAAATGGAAATGAACCTACTTCAAAGTTACACTGTTAAGAGTTACAAGAGCTAGAAATTTTTAGCTTTCTTGTGTATTAGTTGAATATTGGATCTAAATTCTTTTCTGGAGGGATTTAGTCATGAAAAGTAATTTACTTAAATTGTTAATTTTGAAAACACAAACATGTCATTTTTACCCAATTCAATTCTTCAAGTGAGTTTTTCTATAAATACAGTATACAATAATTGAAAGTAGTTATTTCTTTGAACCTCAGAAAGTCAACATAAGGCTTTGGAGTACAGAATTTGTTAACATTCCTTACCTCGTGATCTTTATATTGCATAAGTAGCATGTGTTATTTTTTCTAAAGTTTAGAAACCATAAGAAAATGCCTGACAGCCATGTCTCACTTCTTGACAGAGTTCGAGAGAATGTTGTGGCTATAACATTCACTTTGTACAGTACCATTGGTACCAACAAGAAATATTCACAGGAATAAGTGAAATACAGCTTTGCTATCACAATGCCATGGTTGTTAACTTCTTGCCTCCAGTGTCTCACATCCTCCTTTGGTTGTTGGAAACACTTAGACAGCAAGCAAGAGCCTGTTAATACCAGAGATCCACTCCATAGAAACCGTTTTACTGAGGCCCCGCCCACAGCAAACAGGTAAAAGTCATTATACATTTTACATTAAAATTAAAGAAGCATACAAAAGGATTATCATCACTTCTGCACAGCAGAGGCATTATGACACATATTTTAATTTTACATTTCTATTTCTGGTAGACGTAAGAAAATGTCTACTATTAGAACAGCATAAAACCATAACTCAAACAGCCAAAACAAACAGAGCATCAGAAATGTTTAGCTTATAAGGCCCTTTTTCCACATTATTCATAAAATGGATTTCTAGACACACTGAACTTTTTCATTATTTTGTGGTTCACTCAGAGAAAAACACCCACGAATAGAATCTTTTACTGGGGGACGATGGGGTCGTGCCCCATCCTGCAGGCTGCTATAAGATGGGCTTGTTTGTGGCCAGTCCTTCCACGCACTGCATCCAAAACTGAGCCTCCCAAGGGGAGAACTGATCTGTGTGCCCTGTTTGGTGATTTATCCAGGTCATGTTTACCCTTTCATAAAATGGCAAATACTGAGTTCAAAATGCCTAGAAACTTAGCTGAATCTTGATTTAAGTTAACCCTTATCTCTTTCTGTGGAAATTTACATGAAATGAAAGTGACATGAAAGAAATACTTTAAAATGTGATTGTTTCAAAGTATGGCAATTCTTGTGAAACTTTTACTGACATGACAGATATGTGGTTTAATAACATCTGACCATTTCAGGAGGAACTATGCAAAACACTTTAATGTCCTGACAACATACCTTGAAGTTTCTGTTCTTCCATTAGAGCAGATATGATAAAGGAGGAGGAAGGATGCAAGGAAGGTAGCACTATGTGGCCTGCTCACATTGGGACCCTGTTTTCGCTGCTTCTCAATGCCAGCATCTATTTTATTACCACAAAAACTTCTAAAAGAAAACAGAAGCTTGGCACTATTTGTATAAGCATTTCTGTATTCACTGTCCTGTCCTCAGTGGACCAGGCTCCCCACAAACCAGAAACCAACTTACTCCGGATTGCTGCACGCTGGAGAATGCTTAGGGCATCGCTTGCATTCATGGGCTTGGGCTCATGACTGAAGAGAATCCAGCCAGAGAAATGGGAAAGTGGATTCAAACCACTCACATTACTCCTAGACAATACAGGAAGATTTTGTGAAAATTCAGAGCCTATTCCATGGCTCCTTTTTAATCTCTTTCCTTGACAGATACACATTAGCTAGCCGTGCCGACCAAAATGAATAATAAATAGAACAGTTTGGCTGTTATCATACAGAACACAAAATGTAAATGGATATTTCCCATGGCATTACGAAAGACCTGTGTTAAATGAAATAAGATAAAACGAAGATATCCTGACGAAAACATCTGATTCAGCATAGGCAACTCTACATTTAAGAAATAACTGAATACAGATTTAGACAAAATAGTTCCTTCCGTGGTATAATTTTCCTCTACTCCAGTGAAGCGTTAGTATGCTAAAGTATTTCCAGGCTGAGAAAAATATTTTTAGTTGTTGCTTTTGTATTTAGTTTAATGCATAATGTGGTAGATTATTAGTAAAACTCTTGGAGACATATGAAAATTTTCCTCTTAAATATATATTATGTATTCTCAATTTAAGGAGTGTGAACTCACATCCAATCACAGCAGAAAGTCTTGGAATCAAGTTACTTTAATACCTTTTTAATAGCCAAGACACCTTTACATTGCTTCATGTTAGATACAATTTGAAAATTTAAGAAACACTTTGGAACATATATCTACAGATATCTTGCATAAACATGTGACCCTAAAGTTGGAGGAAAGAAATAATATAAATGCATGTATTATTCTCTTCCCTTTAAGAATTAGAAAGTACATGAAGGAAGGAGACTAATAAATGTGTAAATGCCTAGATTAGGCAATATGCAGCTCTGCAGGACCTAATCTCAGCTTATAAACCCAGAGGAGGTCATCTATAGATTAGGTACAGAAGACAGCCACTTCTGTCTTGGAATTTCCTTAACATTTCTGCTGATCTTTAGAAATTTCTCACATTCTTCTGGAAGAAAAACCACAGATACACACCTCTAAAAGAGTGAGGGATTACATCAGATACACCATGATTTGGACTGTACAAGCACACCCAGGTACATGGAACACATGGGGGTTTTGTAAAAGCGAGTTGATGACCGCTGTTCCAGGATCCACGGTGAGGAGAACTGATTGTGCTATCAGATGGCACAGGAAAGGCAACAGATTGGAATACAGAGTTACAGTTTAAGATCACAAGGTATAAACTGTTTGGGTGAGGTTAAAATAACGCTTAACTTATGGTTTACTCGTCATTAAGTCACTAACCTTGGAAAGCAGCGTGGCGAGATTAACTGAACTAGTCCATTAAATCCTTCATCATCCTTTATCATTGCATTTTTAATCCATTCAAGTATCTTCAGGAGTTATGTTACTGCACTTGCGTGTACCTTAATTCACTTCAACATTTATAAAATAACACTGACAAACACAACAACAGAAACACTTATGACCATTAGTGAGCATCCTAACAACATGACACTCAAGTAGTTGTTTCGGGATTGTTTCTGGTGACAATTCCACTCCACCTTCTCCGAGATCTTCTCGGAAAATTGTCGTGTGTGGATGGACCCTTCAGATACAAGCTCTTCGGCTATGACTGCGGTACCTTATATGTTAAAATTATTTTGTGTATCCACTTTGCGTAGTAGGCCACTCGGATGAAAATACCAGGGCGGTTGGGGATGGCACAGCCGCGGCCAGGAACGATGACGCCAAGGACCATCCTCATTTTATGCTGCTCACAGATGAGAGGGCCACCGTAATCCCCCTAGGAGGAAGACAGTCACAGCAGCGGCGTGTTAGTTAGAAAGGACAAACGTCACCCTGTGAGATCACGCTCCCCTGACGTGCATCTCACAGGTACAGAAACACCGACAGGGGGACTAACTGCGTCTGAAGTAGGGACAGAGAGTAACTGCTGTTTTCCGACCCCTGGTGGCCTTTCTGTGGAACCAGCCAACGGAGACCAAGGTAAATGCTAAGCACAAGGGGTTTCACCGCCTGCAGCATTCACTTAAGAATGGCTCGCTGTTTCCAAAACATTAATTTATCCTTTAAAACGTGCTCTCCCTTTGCTGAAGGTGGAATAAGACAACCACTGGTATTAACTAAGTAAGATCCATTTATAGTTATTTTGATCTTCTGGTGTTCCAACTATGTTCAAAACAGAAAATCTGAAAAATGCAGGGAACATCTGAGTAAAAAGCACTATGATATAGTTTTAATGATTAAAGCAGTACATTTCATTACATTCTAAAATTATTTTTTCCTTTCCCCCAATCTGGCCTCAGATGATCTCACCAAGTTAAATGAAGAGCTTTTAGTTGATAAAATAATTGTATATATTCACTTATGGTTGGTCTTAGCAGTTCCTACAGTTACATCTTTTCTCCATGGTCCTCTCTGGAGTGCAGCGTGTAACTCCGTGGAATTTCCTGGATGTCGTATTATTAAAGAGAGCAGAGAGAAAGTGTAGACAGACGGGAGGAGTCATGTATGTGTCTGTACCTAGGGTACTCACAGCTGGCCGCGGGTAGCTACCTGTGCACACAGATACACATTGTGTTCCACAGAACCCCAGAACTAGAACACCTCCCTTTCGTGTGCCACACAGTCTCCAACACATGCAACAGCTGGCTTTGGGCATCACATTCATCAGAGCACACGGGGCAATCTTAATTGGCCCTTAAAAGTGGCCAGATAACCCTAAATGACAGCAGACGCTAGCTCTGTGATGCATATAGTAAGAAGAGAGCCATCGATACTCCACGTTGGGGAACAGGAACAGGAGCTGAAGAAAATCTTCTAACAGTAAAGAAAAAGTTTACTCTAAGAGGCTTTGTACGAAGTCTAACTTGGAGGTGATAAAACTAATTGTATTTTTTAAAAACGCATAAGTGATGCCTGATAGATCTTCAGAGACATTTGTAGATGTGATGTTATTGCTACAGTTAAGAGATGTCACTTTCAAATCTCTTCCAGTGGTTAAATAACCTTATTTTCAGTGTCATATATGCATACACATGTATGTGTGTGCAGAAATATATATACATAGCACATGTGTGTGCTTATGAACATACAGAGATATACGTATGTGTATTCTGGAGGGTAAATGTATTTTGACAAGTGGCAGAATCCAATTAAACTCATCACCAATAAGAATAAAACTACAAAAACGAACTGAACGTATAAATACTTCAAGGCTAAAGTGAAGAAAGTAAGAACACAAGTATTCTGAATTTGGACTGAAGGTTATGCCAGAAAAGCAGTATATAGAGCGGGCAATGCAGGGCGAGGCTGAGCACCAGGTAGATGAATTCTCTCGCAACTGGCGAGCTCACAGAACACTTAGGGCCTAAAAAGAAAACCATCTTGTTCCTCCTCTTTAGATTTTCCCTGTACCACAATGATGCGCGCTCCCTGGAAAGACACCCAATTTGAAAGTGTTTCTAAACACATAATCTGTTTCTAATCATATCTTTTAAGGGCAGTTCTGAAACGTCTTTTCTTTAGGAATCAAAATCTCTCAGAGAGAAGTCCTAACACATTTCAATACCTATCCCTGATCCAGACTTAGGGCACGCAGTTCCTTACACCCCAGTGAGCATCCAAGCTTTACATCCAGACTCCCCGCTGCACACACTGAGGCTTGGAGAGCCAGTGTCCTACACGCTAAGTCCGTCTAGCACTACAGCCTCCCAGCTTGTCTGCCCTCCACAGGGATAGGAACCAGGCCAAGGTGGAGGAACAGTTCCCTGACAAGTTAAAATGTCCAAGCACTTGGAGTCACAAACTCTGACCTTCAAGTTTTTAAAATAGAATTTGTTTACACTCACACACACACGCACACGCACACACAAGACCTGATCAAAACCACATTTGAAAGTTTAAAACCAGACATGGACCTCATAACATTTTTATGAAGTTCATTTAGGGAGACTTTGGGAAGATCAGATAAGTGTTAGAAAACTTTAGAAAACGCAAGCCATTGTATCCTACAGATTGGATCCTCCTAATCCCCAGCTTCGGTAGAGTCGGGCTAGGCCCAGCTACTGCCCGTAGGAGGGAGCCTGACACGAGACTGCCGCCAAGGAGGCTCCTTCGCTGCTGATTCAAACAAATGCATGGATTATCTGTCCCCATCCCTCCCTGGAGAACAGGGTGGTGGACGATTGTTTTGCTTTGAGAAAAATAAGCAAACACAAAACCCATGAGGAAGGAGTCCAGGACAGCGTTTCCTTCCCCGGATCCGCCTACCTCGCACGGCCCGGACCCGCCCTTCTCTGGCCCAGCGCAGAGCTCAGCCTCGCTCAGGGTGACCTTGCCGCGGTGGTGGCGGTTCATATTTTTGAATGAAATTGAAAGGAAAGCAGTACTTCCAAATTCATTCCTGGAAGAAAGGATTACTTTGATTCCCAAACAAAGGAAAGACCAAATTAATAAAGATAGGTACAGGCCAATCCCCTTAATGAATATAGATGCAAAAATACTTAATAAGATACTAGCAAACAATACAGAGGATCATCAAGAAGATCATACATCCTGACTCTGCGGGCATGGGAGGCAAGGACACGGGGGTGAGCAGGCGGGGAGGCGACACGTGAGGATGCGGGCAGACAGGGCACGCTGGGCACGTGGGCGGGCACGCTCACCTCCTGTGTAGCCCCAGCCGTACACGCTGCACGTGGTCCGCTCCGGGATGGCGCAGCCGTAGTTGGGCAGATCCACGGTGCTGACCGCATCGTCCAGGACCGCGGGCCTGAGGACAGAGCGGAACACGCGGGTCGGGACCCCCCCATGAGCTGCAGCGCTCCCGGGCCGGAGGCAGAGACCGAGATTGCGCGTGTTTAGACACGGAAAGCGAAGGCCAGAGATAATGACCAGGACTGGAGCAGGGAAAGGACACTCGGCCTATGTTAGGATAAGCAGGGCCTCCATCCGCAGAATGTAAAGAATGACAGCATATATCGTACACAGTGAAGAAAATCCGTGTAAAAACTGATTCAATATGAGTTAACGCCTAACGCAAGGCGATAACATTGCTAAGTGTATTAGGCAGTTTCCCCGTTGCTCAGACAGAACGCACAACACTTAAGCACCGTGGTGAAGAGGGGTCATGTGGCTAACGACCTGGGGAGAGTCAGTCCATGGTAACCTAGCTCTAAGGCTCTAACAGCGTGGTAAAAAATAAAGGCAAAGGAAAGCCGCCCAAAACGTGTTAGGGAGGGTAGAAGGGGAGCCGGCTCCTTCCTGCTGCACAACCCACGCGCCACCCGCACCCAAGACCGCAGCACACGCCGCCCCCGCGGGACTAACCTGGCCAGCTTCAGGAGCACCAGATCCGAGCCCTCGGGCCCGAACACCAGCTGGGACACGTTCCGAACCTGCCTGCTCTTCTCAGCCCCCCTGCCGTGCACGTCGTGGATTCCCAGCCAAGCTTCGTAGTCTTTCAAATCTTTATTTCTAAATTAAAAAGGAAAACGGCATGTAAATTATATTTCCATCTGTAATTGCTTGTATACATCCCTCTTTTAGCTTAAAAAGGTGAACAACCTAAATTTAAATTTTGACTCAAAGTATAATAATAAAGATGCCCAGCTCACAGGAGGCTGTGGCCAAAGGATCTCGGGCAATTCAAAGCCAGTGAACACAGCCAGACTTGGTCTTGAAAAGGTTAAAAAGGGATGGGGGCGCACAACGCATTTGTTATGGGAGATTCTGAACCCTAACAGCATATATAAGCAGAAACGGCTTTTAAACTGCTGAAATTCTAAATGACTATTTTAAAACACTTTTTATTATACTTGCTAGGCAGTGAGTGACTTGTGCAAGCGCAGGTACACTTCTTTACATGGATTATAATTTCTGTGCAAACTTTGCTTTACCTCAGCTGTGTACATGGTCAGTTTATTAATGAGGTCTGAAGTTTTAAGCAAACAAAATCAAAGTGACCCTGATAAGACTTGGGAAGTAAGTGGACAGCAGCTGCCTCTTTATCTTTTCCTGGGGCTAATTTTCACTGAAATCCATTCCCAGGGTGACTCTGGGGCTGTCTCTACCCAAGGAAGGAGAAGCAAGGAAGGACTGAGAGAATTTGTTGATAGTTTTGGAACAAGAATTTCTCTGTGGAAACAAGAATGCAAGTGGGAGGCTGGAACATAATTTATTTACATAGTGCAAGCAAACATTTCTCCCCAGTGAGCGTATGCTAGTATGAAAAGCAGTAAATCGAAGGAATACTAAACATAAAAATATCAATGAGGTTAAAGTTTGTAAGCTAAACTTTTAAAAATTAACTGGTTCATTGCGTGCTAGTGGATTTCTGTAAAACAAAAGCACAATTCTAAGCTGAAAAGTGCAGGAGAAGGCACATGTATTTTCAAATGCTGAAAGAAATACCGATTTATAGAACATCTTACCTAGCAGGGAAACACTGTCTTGCAGTAAGGACCCAACTTTCCTTTATCAGTGACCCTCCACAGATATGTTTATTTCTAAGGAAAACAAGAAAGAAAAATAAGTAACATCTGCACAGACAGAGTTGCTGCCAATTAATGCACAACCTATGGCTCCGTCTGTTAAAACTGCATGTGCTGGAGAGGGAAATACAGACATTAACCCAACTAGAATAAACTTAGCAGCAGTCCTTGGGCCTCGAGGGTGGTATTTGGGGTCTACAGCATTAACATTTTTAATAATGTGAGTATAATTTTATTAAATAAATTTTAAGGCTTAAAGAACTGTCATTTAACAACAGGATCTGCTCACCACAAATGTATTTATCTTTGTGAGAGGAAGAATGTGCTGTCATTATCCAAAAGAATGAAAAGAAACTGGAACTGTTTGAAATTCCAAATGTGATTATTAAAAATGCAAGTTACCGTAGTACTTAACCTTGACGACCGTTCAGTGGGAGTGACATATGTTACTGTTACACTATTCCCCCTTTCCCTACCATTATTCAGGTTTGATATGTTGAAATATTACTGAGTTTGAAGAATATCTGCTCAGTGTAAGACCCGCAGTGCAATATTTCATTTATAAAAGTAAAACTGTTTTGCAAGACAAATCGCCCAAAATCTGTAAGATATTTACAGGGAATAATAAGCGCTAGTACATTTATTTGCTGCTATCCAAAATCCGTAAGGCCATTCATTTCTGGCAGAAACGTGGAACAAGTACAACCTTTCATGATTTACGTTTCCAAGAAGTACAGATGTTTGGTGCCTCAGAGGGCAATGCCTGAAAATTCTTAGACTAAGACTATGGTTATTTATGGCCTGTACCACACAGAATGATAAGAGTACACAGAGTTTTAATTTTTCTTCGCTTAGTATGTATTTTGGAAGAATAACCAAACAGCTGTAGTTGCTAAGAATAAGGACTTAAGAGAAAAAAGTTCTAAAAGTTTGTGGTACTCAGACCTTATGAAAACAGTTACTTGCAGCCTCGGGAAGGGAGACTCACAGAATAACGTTTTCCGGTATTCTCTTGTTTGCAAATAAAATCCAACAGTCTAAGTTGTTTTACTCCTCTGGTGTTACACATTAGGAAAGAGCCACTAAGTAACAGAAATGTGGGTTCTTCAAATATTTTCTATAACAAAAAACTTAAATTTCTATTCATTACATTTCTTTTATAAAGACCATTTTCTAAAATAAAATTAAACACTCGAAAGATTTGGCCTTTATGAATCTTCATCTTGCAAAATCACTTGCATTCTGATTTGCTTCACAATTCCACTTCAGTACTACAAGCCTAGGACAGCTACACCAGGATTACTGGCATAAAAACTAAGTCTCCCAAGTTGCCCTTGAGAGAGAGAAACACACTAGGAGAGAGCTTTAGGCTGTCTCCCGCAACATTACGGTGAGCTACAGTCATATATCAACGGACGAAAATGCCGTGCTGGCCGACAACTGGCTGATTCATAACCTACTTCAGGTTTAAGCTGTCTCTGTTCTATTTTAATGTCACTGAAAATAGGAGGTCTCATGTAATGGTCTGGGAAGATACTTCTCCTTCCAACGAGAGGCTAGCGATGTATGAACAGGAAGGATTTTCTAAACAGAGATGGTCTGACGGGATTTGCAACATGCTTTGATGTTTTCAGACATGAAGCACAGAGGAAGGGAGCCACACTGTTTAGGGGTTTGGAGGGAGGCACAGACAGATCTGGGGCACACGGGAGAATGGAGCTGAAACTCAGCAGTACTGGGCTACATGGCGTGAGGTCCTGATACATACAGAGACGTAGGTTCCTGAGGACCACATGGGCCACTATGTAAAGTATGCGACATGATGTAATGAACCTTAACTGCACTCATATTTTCAATATTGAATTCTTATGGAACAATTACTAAGCTTAATTATGATGTAATTTGCAAAGTGATCTTATAAGGGGCCTATCATTCATTCTTGAGACCAGTAAAGACAGTGGGCATATTTAGAATTCTTCATTCACCATGATGATAATAAAATCAAGACTGTGCAACTGTTAAAAGTGCTACGCTTTTCCATAATAAGATAGTGTGAAATTTTAAACCGTCATTTGTTTTCATTTAATGATAGTCAGAAATTTAAAACAAACATAATATTGCTGACGCGATTATGTGCAGATGTGTCAGAAATAAAGTCCTCACGTGCAAGACTGGGAAGCCAGTAATCTGCATGTCATGAATACTATGGGCTATGAAGGCACAAGTCACTCTGCTACACAGTTATCTTCTATTTAATCGCAGCCACAGTGTCGCTTGGAATCCAAGGCAACAGCAATACCTGTGAGACCCCCGGGGCCACTGAACAAGGCTGTGGGAGGCAAAAGTTACAGGTCCCGGCACACAGCTCCCCAAGAAGTTTCTCAAACTCTTTTTCCAACTCCCTGGACAGGCACGAGAAGCACGGCAGGACTTCAAGACCACAAGGGACCACGCTGCTGGGAGCAGGCTTTCATGAAGAGTTCAAACAATATGATTTGTGTCTCTCAGTAATTACCTGTGCTTCAGACTAACCATCCATCCTACATTGGTTCGCGTTGGGATCCCATTAACCACTCGCAATTGCTTCGTTTTGGCACACGATATTACAGGATCTGAAATCAGGACCACACATAATGTTGCAACATAACAGTGGGAGGCACCCAGTGCTTTTATTTTCTTTGAGTGCCCTGGTAGCCAGACAGATGTAACTACTGTAATTGCATGAGAGCACTTTGCAAAACGGGTAACACATGGCCTCAGATGGCATCCAGCCCTAGGACTGCCCACCGTGAAGACTGTTCAGGGTGGCGACAGGGGCTTGGCCCCGCATGCCCTGAAACTTAGTGCTCCAAGAACAATGTTAATGTTCTTCCCTCACCATCCTCAAGATAAAATGAGGCAATGCTATTCACATTGTGTACATGTCAACAGCAACCTGCAGCCAGAGCAAAACAAGCAGGATTTGGTCATTCTGAGTTTGTAACAGTAAGGAGGCAGAGCTTTTAGAACATGGCGCCAACACTGTGACCTTGAGACTGTATCCAAGTGACGTTACCACATCCACATCACCTGCCCCGGGGAGGTAACTCAGACTCTAGGTGAGCACAATGTCAGGCCCCACCTCTGTGCGCCTCATCTCATCCTTCATAGTCAGTTACTGTCTAGAACAGATTTTCTTCTGCTTCAGCCTGAGTATTGCGGGTGATCTTTCCAAGGAGTAACTTCTTTCAGCCCAAGCAATATGTGCAAACTGAAGCCAAGCAGCCTCAAAACACCTCAAGGCAACTTTCCTATGGAGGGCTGATGGGGCTCCTGTGACAGTGCCCTCCTTGGCCTCTTGGAGGTGAGCTTTGCATAAGCTTTAAAGACAGCCAAAGGCTGCACGGCAGGGCCTCCACACCCGGGTTCCAGCACCCTGAGCCTTTCTGGGTGGGGGGGTGCACATAAATGTAGCCCTTCACACTGACTGTGCCCAGAATTAAATGTAAACGTCAGTGCTCTGAACACCATATGCAACATCTTGTAAATTTTCTTACAGTTGAGTTTTCATACTCAGAATGCAGTTGCCTTTGACTGTTTTATGTCTACATAGGAGAATACGTACTTAATAAAAGCAAAGCACATGCTTTATTTTTTATGACGGACATCATTAAATGTTTGTTGTGAAAAATATGATGGCATCCTGTGTAGAATAGAGATGCAGATATACTTTATATTTGGAAAGATTACTTACGGTCTAAATTGATTGTAGGTGTGGTATCGCCTTCACCTGTAAAAATAAATGCTTAGATACATAAATAATTTACTACATGTGTAGGTCTTTATATAAACCACAGTTATATATTAAAAACCAAGTATGTGGGAACTGTACAATTCACTGTAATTCTTGATTATTTTTTGGTGGAGGAAGGAGCAGTTTTAAGACAGGATGTCACCATGTAGCCCAGGCTGGCCTCGAACTCTCAGCAATCCTCCTGCCTCAGCCTCTCAAGTGCTGGGATTACAACCATGTGCCACTACATCCAGCTAAAATTCTTGATCATTTATTAAATACATAATGCAATGTTTCTCTTTTTTAGTAACTTTGTACCACTTTTTCCAGGCAAAAGTGCATGAGTGAGGAAAGTCTGATTTCCTGACTGGGAGACAGTCAGGTGTGCAAGTCACATGCAGAGCAGCAAGGAGTAGCCACTTCTCCTGTCCACAGTGGACCCTGATCTGATCACCCTGATGCTCAGTGCTAGGTGCTTGGATCTCTCCTGTGGCTAAATCACTTTCTTTTTATTGTAGTTTAAATTCTCCAATTTTTAATGAAAATTACTTTATTTTCTGGTGGTTTGGTGCATGCCCCGAACCCTCTGAAAGACAGAAATCAGTCTCTCTTGGAAAAATAGGAACAACACATATGTTCTTAAACTGCTTGAAAGACTTTTTTCCCTAGACGTTAGTAAAAAATAGGGAAAAATACAAAACCCCTGGAAACTACTCACTGGTTCTACCTGAGCCCTCCTGACATCCTCCTGTTGAATGACCCCTCTACCGGGATTTCATCGCTTTAAGAAGAAAAGCCTCGGAAATGCTGAGAGTTTGGAAATGTTTGTGCAGTAATAAATGAGACACAAGACATTTACTGAGGCTGAACTCTAACAGCACAGAATGAATGCGAGAGGTGAATCAGATGCTGTGCGGACTGGGCTGGGCTTGAAGCCAAGGAAATGCCTTGAGCTCAGATAAACCGAGGGCAAAACAATAAAGGTGCATGGATTCCTTTGGAATAGGTGAAAACTGTATTGTTTGGGCGGGTGTTGAGATGGGGTCTCACTATGTAGTTGAGACTGACCTGGAACTCACTGGGTAGCCCAGGCTGATCTCAAACTCACAGTGATTCTCCTGCCTCAGTCTCCTGAGTGCTGGGATTACAGGCGTGTGCCACCATGCCCGGCTTGTATTGTTGTTTACTAGGGTACGTGAGGGAATTCTTATTTGCTAAAGGGCTTTTACTTATTTTCATTTTCTAGATCCAGGTATTTTTGATGAATAAAAATAAAGGAAAACATATAAATTTCACCGTTTTCTTTTCTCTTTTGCTTATGCTGGCAAAAGCTCTCAGAGCCCGCTGAAGTCTACATTTTAGTTTATAGCACAAAGTGGAATCAAGACCAAATGTAGTCATCAAGGACTGGTTTTTCCACTAAAATCAATTAGTTGGAAATGTTAAGCAGTCAGATATTTACTCCTTATGTTGTGATGAGAAAGAACAAAGTACTGCTATCCTGAACTGCATATTGATTCTTTTATTTCTAAGTGTCAGCTTAATTAGTCCACAAAGCAATCCGTTCATCATTCTATCTTGCTGAACATTTCAAGTGTGACCCACTTGTGTTAGAAATTTTAGGTTTCCAAAATAATACTTTGAACATAAACGACATTTTCCAAGCTTCCTCAAAGCCAGCATGTCTCACACTTTGCCGTAAGCTGAATACCACTTAAAAATCATATCCCTGGTACCAAAAAATAAAAAATAAAGAAAAAAAATCAGATTTTGGGAGGCGCTGGGTTTCTGATATTTTGAAAAGCACAACAGGGTCTTCTGGTGCAAGTGAGCAGAGCTGAGTTGTGAGAAACTGAGGCCCCGGCCCTGCATTTTGCTCTGGCATAGGATCCTGACCCATGTACCCCGTGGTCACCACATGGCTCAGTGTGAAAACATGTCTTATTTTGTCTCAGTCCAACTTTACTTTGAAGAAGGAAAGTATGGAAAAAACAAAAGGTTTATCTGTGTGAGAGTGGCTGCGTGTGTGTGTGTGCGCATCCCAGTGGCCTCACAACTTCAGTATGGGATTTTACTCAAAACACACCTTGCTTTGACTGCATTCTTAAAGTCTTGACTTAGATGCAAAACTTAAAATCACATATTTTCCCAGGCAGATATCTACGTTCGCATTTTACTTTATACATTAATGTTAATATATGTTTACTGTGTCATTACATTGCTGTGTAACTGTTTGTATACATGCCTCCTCTCTGTGCTGTAAAGTATGTGAGGTTAAGAAACTATATTTTTTGTATCCCTACTGTTTAGGGCATTGTACGCAACACAAGCTCAATAAAACATACCAATGAATTAATAAATCAAACAGAGAAATTAAGAAAATTTGGAACATTGACTATGCAACAGGTGCTCTTTACAATACCCCGCAAAACAGACACTTTTACTGCACAGTTGTTTGAACAGAAAGCGTCAGTGATAACTAAGTTCTTGCCCAAAGCGCTCAAAGTGGACAAAGATTGTTACTCAGGAATCTGATCTGAAACTCAGCAGCGGCAGTCTCAGTACTCAATACTCACGGTCTTTCAAAGACACACTAAATGTGCATATGTGAAAATATTTGGGCAGCTCGGCATCTTACTTTTGCACGTTCGATAAGCTTAAACATATTTTTCAAATAGTACTTTGTAAGCACTTTAGAAAAATTGAATAGAGACACTTAAATTGTTTGTGTGAGAGTTGTACAGTGTGAAAATGATTAATATAGCCTCTGAGGTTAAATAAATAATTAGAACTCAAATCTTTTAAAGATGAATGTGATTAGCCTTTCACCAAGTAGAAAATGTAAATAAATTCTGGCTATAAATATCAGTTAGAAAAATGATAGTGTAAAAATATTTATTGAAATTAATGTTCAGTATACATGGAAATAAAAATCAATGATCTGCAATAGCTTTTAATCAAATACTAGCAACACCTAAAGTCTTTCCACTGCACATTAGTCACTTTTAGTTTAAAAATCTTAGTTGAAAAATTTTTGCAAAACTTTAAAATTATTAGAGTATCATTTCCCTTATTTGAGTTTAAAAGCTGAATCACAGGCCCTTGAGATTCACACTTAGTTAAATATACGTGGTATGTGTACCACATGGAGTGGCCGGGAGTCTTCAGAAAAGACTCAGTGCAAAAGTAGCGCAACTTGTTCTAGACACAACATTACTTTTAAAAAATTTCTTCCTGGATCACTGTATATTTTTATGAGCCTCCAAGACGGTTAATTGTGGAGAATTCACACAATGATACTGGGAGGTAAAACCATTATTCAGAAAAAAAAGTGTTGTAGGTCAGAGATAGACGGCTTGTTTGGTTCAGTTTCCAGTGAGGGGTGGGGGAGGAAGGGAGGAAAAGAGAGAGAGGGAGAGACAGAGACAGTGAGGGAGGGAGAAGGAGAAACGGAGGGTGAGAGGGAGAGAGAGAGAGGGAAAGAGGGAGAAATAGTTTACTCATTTCTAAACCGTATGCTGTTCTCTGAAGAGGTAGATGCGTTTGCTTTGTGTTAGAAGACACGCTCCCAGGGAAGCAAGCAAGCCCCACGGGAACCCCATTACGGAAAAGGTGGTGGAACATTACGAAAACACTAATTAATTTGAAAGACTGTGATCATAGCTGATGAAATAAAAATATCATAAAACCTATCATTTCTTTGCCACCATAAAAAGTGTTTAATTATTTGCTATTGTCACAAGTTTCCCGGTTTAGTAATGCTTCCCGGGCATAATCTTACTTAACCGTATACTCGTCAAGTGGTGCGCTTAAGCAATGCACCCACAGTTCCACGAAACGCGCCTAGCACTCCGCTGGAGAGAAAGCCCTCCCTAACCTGCACCGGATGCTGCGAACGCTAGGTTTGGGTTCACATTTAGTGCTGAAAGCATTTATCATTTCTTCAGTCCCGCCAGTCTTCTTAAAGCGGGCTTTCTACTGCTGTGCTCAAAGTCCTTGTCCACTGGCCCCTCTCAAAAGGAAAGCATCCTTACAGCGATGTTACTCAGAACATGAAATTACGATCTTTTTGAACAAGGTAGGAGTTTAACATCATGATAAAGCAGCATGCGGTAAACACAGATGCCTCAGATAATAAAATATCCAAAAGGCTTTGGCAGTTCGCACTGTAGGGAAGATGGATTTCACGCCGATGCATAATAGTGCACCCTGGGGTCTCCGTGGGTGATTTTTGTCACTGTGTCCCAGGGTGGGACACTGGCTTGTCTAGAGATAACTCCAACCAGAGTATTGCTGCCTGGGAAACTTCTGAGCCATTGACATTGTAGCCAACAGCTTCCCACAACACAAAATTACCCACACCAATGAGTTAGCCATGCAAACACTGTGAGCTCCTCATTCCAATCCACGATGCTGGGTTTTAGATGCATTTTCCCAAACTGGCTTCCAGACGGGAATTTCATTCCACCCAAAGTGGCTTACTGCTACAGAACCTCCTTACCTAAACTCTAATATTTAGTTCTACCAACTGCTTTATTTGTTGGCAACCTGATAAGTGGAAATTTCTCGTACTTTTTGACTTTCATTTTTTCTTACTTATTTCAGTGTCTTTTTTAGTTAGTTATTCTTCAAAACTCATCTTCTTAATTTTTGTCCTGAGTTCTCACATCTATTTCTTACAGTCATACAAAATCTCTTGTATGCACCATGGGTTTTATAGCATACTACACGTGTGATAGCACTGACTGCACATGTATCTTTTATTTTATGTACTAATGCCTTTGACAAAGTCGCTCTGGACTTAGAGAAAAATAGGAAAGGCTCCATGCTGTTTAGTTTTGGATTAAATAACTGAGAGGTGGCAGGGGGAGGGGACCCCAGGTGTCTCAAAGGCAACACCACTGCACCCAGACATGGGACTGAGCTGGACTCTGGTCGAGCAACTTCGTAGCCCATGCGTGTTGGACTCATGGCCATTTATTGCTTCTGGATTCCAAATGGGAAGCTTCTCAGGGAGGAAACACTAAATTCGGTCAACAGAATTCCTTCTGATCTACAAGAGAGGTGGTGGTGCTGGGGGGTGTTCTCAAAGGCAACACCACTGCACCCAGACATGGGACTGAGCTGGACTCTGGTCGAGCAACTTCGTAGCCCATGCGTGTTACACTCATGGCCATTTATTGCTTCTGGATTCCAAATGGGAAGCTTCTCAGGGAGGAAACACTAAATTCGGTCAACAGAATTCCTTCTGATCTACAAGAGAGGTGGTGGTGCTGGGGTGTGTGTGTGTGTGTGTGTGTGTGTGTGTGTGTGTGTGTGTGACAGCCACAGAGGAAGAGTCTGGGAGATGTCTGTGAACTGCTGTCTGGATGTCCTTCTTTTGGAATCAGCTCCCGAGCCCTGTATTATTTACAGCTCTGATTAAGAAATCACACTTGTGGCTCTCTACTACATTTAAGATATTTCAGCTGCAACATGACGTTAGCTGTACTTACAACGGGAAATGGGGCAATAATCCCAGGGAATAAGAGGGTTCCCCGTGTAACACCAGGGTCCGTGCGCATCGTCGTCAGGGTTCCGGCAGTAATTCTTGGTCAGCTTACTGGCATCTGGCTCCCAGAAGATGTGACTGTGGGAGCAACAAGCCGGAAGTCAGAAGGGACCGCTCTCCCCGAGAGAAACTGGATAGTACAAGAGGATAAAGCCCTAGGCCCTTCCAGTGCAGACTCAGCTCAAGCTGCTACTTGGCTATTTTCATTGCTATTTAGTCATTTTGTTAGGATCCATATTGTTTCTCTTGTCACAATTGAAAGCATGTTTTCTAACCGCAGAATATCACTGGATACATTTTCCCAAACTGACTTCCAGAAAGGATTTTCATATACAATATGAGGAGAGATTTTGTGACTTAGCTTCTATTTAATAACTTATAGTGGCAAATAACAGAATCTATGTGGAGAAGTAGAGAAATGCTGTCAAGAACAGGAAGATGGCTTAGTCCAAAATCATGCAGAGAAAATATGAAGTATTATAAAAGCATTTTTTCAAGTTTCAGATGTGTGAGAAGCAACGCTAGCAGTATCACTAACACAAAGACCCAGAAAACGTACTAAGATTAATAATAAACTGCCAAAGGAATAATTAAATTCTAAAATCTTACTGGTCACATAGTTAGAATTTATGTCCTCCTGCCAGATACCCCAATAACATTCCAACCTTTCTAATCCAATGTTCAAAATCCTCCCGTTCAATCTCTTCCTTCCATCATTTTTCCTAAAACAAAGTGCTGCATTGCAGTTCATTAATTTCCTGTAAGGTTTTTCCAAGTCACTTTTAACTATTTCCGAAAGTTAGTCTTAAACTCGATGTGTTAAGATTCATTGTCCTGGAGTTCCCTAAATAACTCATCCCCAGGGGCAGGCTGAATGTGCTGGAGAACTGCCCTTGCAAGGGTGTGTGTGTGTGTGTGTGTGTGTGTGTGTGTGTGTTTGGACAAGGAGCCCTCATGTGGAGTAAACACTTCAGCATGAAAACGGGATGCCCCCAAGGCAGTGTTGGGGGGACATGGGAACAATTATCTTTCAGTCTTTCAGATCCTCCCCCACCCACCGCTGCCTGTTCCTAAAAATGGTTTTGAAAACCAGCCCTGTCGAAATCAGCTTTTAGTTTAAATGATCTGGCTTCTTGCTTCAATGTCTGTACTGAGTCATTTCAACGGTTAGGGTAAAGTCACAATTCTCCGCTCTGCTGGCAGGGCCTTTATGGTATGGTAGTGCCTCTGCAGAATTTCTTCTCTGTGGACATTGACCAAATTTGAGTCTCTCCATCTTGCCAAAATCATTTCCAGTTTTCAGAAACTTTAACCTTTCCATTCTGCACAAGCTGTGCTTTGGAGCTGATGTCTTCTCCTTCTGCATCTCCCTTGGCCAAATGTCACTCCTGGTCATCCACAGCTGGGTCAGCTCGCCTTGCCTTCCCACAGCGTGAACCTGCTTTCGTGGGTTTGTGGCATGGAGGGGAGTTCCCTGTTTCATGGCTTCCTCTCCTGGAGCTTGAGACCCTTGCAGGTCAAACTCTGCTGAACTCTTTGAAGTCCTAGAATTGCCACTTCCGGTATTAGAACCATGAGCCCCCTGTGGCCACTGAAAACTAGCGTATGATCAATTTGAGTAGAAAGCTGAGGTCAGTATAAACAGACACTAGGTTTTCATCGTGTAGCATATGAAAAAATAGACTTAAGAGGGGCAGGGAATTTGGCTCAGTAGTTCTGCTGCCTGCATTTTGAGTACAAGGGCCAAGTTCATCTCCAGTGCCACACACAAAAACATAAGACATAAGAGATGTCACAAAAATGTTTATGTTGAATACATATTGAAGTGAAAAAATCTTCAGATATACAGAAATGGGTTAAATGACACATTAAAGTTAATTTTTGTCTATTCATTTTGACTTCTTTAAAGTGGGCTATTAAAAACATAAAAGTTGAGCCGGGCTTGGTGGTACATGCCTGTAATTCTAGCACTTGGGAGGCTGAGGCAGGAGGATCACTGTGAGTTCAAGACCAGCCTGGGCTGCATAGTGAGTTCCAGGTCAGTCTCAACTACATAGTGAGACCCTGTCTC